AAAGCGAGTGAACTTGGAGACGGAGAAAGTGAAGTCCAGATACGACACGAGAGCTACTGGACACAGATTCAACGAAGGAGACAAGGTGAGGTTGTGGAACTCGATTCAGCGAAAAGGAGTCAGGCCTAAATTACAGTCACCTAGGCATGGTCCGTACATGGCCCTAAACAGGCTGAATGAAGTCGTGGTTTGGATCCATAAGACTTCGAAGTCTAAACCTAAAGTCGTTCATTACGACAGGTTAGCTCATTACTATGGCCATAGTACGTAGTGTAAATAATTGTAAATAGTGTAAGACCATGGTCCTTTTTGTTTTTAAATGTGTATTTAGTATTTGATAGCATTTGATTTGTTTTATTTATTGCATTTATTGTTCATGTTGTTTATTATTGTAATGTGATGGTTATTATTTTATTTACGCCACAGTTGTAAGTTTGGCTTCCTGTCCAGGAATGGTAGTGCTCGGGACGTGCAATCCTTGGGAAGGGGGCAGTGTTACGGATTTGGTATTTAAATAGCTAATGTTAGTTGAATTATAAATTAAATGGTTTTATTTACGGCGCAGTGCAGCGCGTGCCGAATATTAAAAGAAAGCTAAGCCGGAAAATTGAAAATACAAGAGCGCGTGCATGTAACATTTAATAAATATCTCTTTTTGATTTCGAGAAAGTACTAGAAAATTCTCGCGCGCGATTGTAAAATCTTATAAAAGGAGAAAAACCTCTCAATTCGTAATAGTTACTTAGTTTGTTGTTGTTTTAAGAGTTTGTTAGAAAACTGCTCTTGTTAATTGTAGCGAATTCGCGGATTAGCTTTCTTTAGCTGTTTTGAATTAAGTTCTCTTGAACGTTTGAGTAGTTAGAAGATAACTACTGTGATATATTATGACACTGCACGATTATTTGAGGACATTTAACCATATTTGTTGTGATAATAATAAATTTTTTGTTCATTTTTCATCGGAATTGTGCATTTATTTCGTAACGAACCCGTACGCACGCAACAATAAACAATAACATTACAATTATATTGACAGCAGCGACGTTCCGTACTGTCAATTAAGTAGTTGGTCAGTGCAATAGGAAACAATGCCCAGAATCTGAGTAATCCATGTTCAAGCTCATGTAGCGACACTAGAGGAGGATTTATATCAGAAACCGGTCTCCTAAGGTAGTTCCAAAGATGCTCTATCGGATTCAAGTCTGGAAACTGACCTGGCCATTCTATCCGCTCCATACCGTGACCCTCAGGACCTTCACCAAACTGCGTTCGATGCGATTGTCGTCCATCAGAAGAAATTCAGGACAATAAAAGCGACATATGAGCAGACAAATTGATCAAGGATCTTATATCGATATCTCACACTGGTCAAAGTTCCTCCATGGACCACATGCAGAGATCAGTATAACTACTGAGAGAGATACCAGCCCAAACGGTTATTCCACCACATCTATAACTTTGTTTTTCCACAATGTGGGATTGGTTTTATCTGCTGCGTTGTTCCCTTCAGATCAGCTGATGACCAGAATCTCTCTCCAATGTGGACCTGGACTCGTCTGTGAAGATAACAGGCGCCCATTGTTGACTAGTCCAGAAGATGTGTTACTTTCTCAACATAAACGGACACTTCTGTGTAATCGAATCAGGGGGACAAAAACAGCTGGTCATCTTACATATATAATGTATTCTGCAGGCGTCTGCGCACTGCAGTATCTGACATTCTTGTTTCTGTCGCCACTATATGATCGGCCATGATGTTGCTCACAATAATGTTGCTCCTTCTTCGGGCCGAAAGAGCTAACGGCATCCCGCAGGCGTTGTAACTCTTAGTATGCCTGGAGCATGTCTTATAGACACAAAATCCTCGTATTCAAACTGATTCCATAGTCGGTGGACCATACTACGAGAGACACTAAGACGTCTAGCAACATCAGCTTGTGACATTACCATTTCCATCCATCCGATCGCCTGCCACTTCAACGAATCTGGTAAACGACTCTCCTCGAAATAGATAGACTCTCCTGGATATTGCCAACGAAATTGCTGATAACAAATGAATATCAACACTCCTGAACAAAACTTACAATCGTTGCATTTTTCCCCCTACAGCTCCTATATGAGTACTCATTTCTACAAGATAAAAGTGGTAGCTCTTGATTTTACATATATTTCTTTAAACTACGTTAGTATCATAAACAGTGGATTTGTATGTTACTGACATTTTTGTAATGGTGATCTTTGAAAAACCTGCTGTTCCTTGACGTTTGGAGGACAGTGTATTATTGAACAAATGCACTGTATTTTTGAGATAAATAGCTGTAACGAATCTGTAATTCTTTATTTTGCATATTTCTTTTTGCATAAGCTTTATGCCACTGCCACCAAATTCTGATAACATGGCATTTTTTTTGTGTACGAAAGTCCTGGTTGGCTACAAAGTAAACATGCCTACATTGTGCCGTCTCATATAATTTCTTCATTCTTTGAAGGTGAAGCATCAGAACTATTGTGTTACTCCAAATTTCTTTCAATTGTCTTTTCCGTTTGTTCTTTGCGGGTATCTTTGCGGATTAGGTTTTTTTCTGCACTTTCGTACGAAAACCGAAACTTGTCATGCTATGATTTCTTCAGCTTGAAAATCGCTATTAGGTATTTCAAATTTCAACAAAATTTTATTTTTCTCGAATATTTTTGCTTGAAATTCATTTTAATGTATTTAACCGAAATTTTGCCTACTCTCCTCATTTCTAAGACTTTTACAATGAGTATGTTCTTTTTAATGTCGAAGAAGATTAAATGCATATTTCCTGTGTTCCATAGATATCCTCTCATGTCATGTGACCGAAAATGTGTTTCCAAGGTCGTCACTTTCAAAAACAATTGCTGGACTAGCTAAAGAAAATAAATATAGCTATTTATTTAATCAGCACCATTTTACAGCGTTATTTTATCATTTCTGCTTATTTTCTATAGTGCTTTCCCAATTACGACTGTAGACTATAGAGATATTTAACGCATATTTTTCCTCTTTTATGACTAATTATAATTTTGCGAAAGTCTGTATATACATCACGTAAAGATAGGAAATGTCACGAAACTTCAATAGCAAATGAGGTAGTGACAAAATGTATATCTGAAACCTTCGAAATGACGGTAATAGTCTTTCTAGTGTTAATCAAAGGAAACTAAATCCTTGTACTAACAACCAGCTGTTAGCAGTTTTATACATTTGTACTCCATAAATATGAAAATATATTTTGCTTGACAGTCTTTTCTTTCCTGAATTTTATCCTCACATTTCAAAATCAGAAACAAAATATTTCCGTCTGCATTTCCAAGCCACTTCTTTAAAATGGAAATAAAACGTTTCTTTTTCGTATTTCGTTCTCTTCTGATTTCTAAACTTGGCAACAAATTTCTGGAAATGTGAAAAGTTTTCTGGACCTCAGAGTGCAGTGGATGATGGGGTGATAACTTGTGAGAGTAGCAGCAAAATTACAATGAAAATCGATGGGCAATAAATGCTACACGTGAGCAATGAATAAATGCGCAACTACCTCTCGGAAATAACAGACTCTCTGGGAAATAAGGGTGGCAAGAAAAGAACGTGAAGCGTCTTCAAAATTTTTATAGTGGTTGCGGTTCTGTTATGATTATTTTACCCATAGGAATATTCACATCAAATACGAAATGACAGTTAAAATAGCAATATTATTAATGACATGTTTTATCATTGTTTTTTATCATTTTAACATTATTAATTTTTATCATTTAAACATGGATTTTGTTTCTAAAATAACGTAATGTAAGTTACGTAACTTTAAAAATGTTTCTCTGAAGTTTTAAGAAAGTCATATTTGGCATTATTCTAAGGACCTGGAAATAGACCTGATGAAATATTAAAAAAAAAAATTAGTTTACGTTAGAAACAACGTTCCTCCAACTTTACTAAGTCGGGAAACACACCAAAACTGTAAATTGTTTTTTTTTTTTTATTTTTCGGGGGGTATGATGTTGTTTTTTTAATTAAGATTATGTCTAGGCACACTAGGGCTATCTGCCTAAGGAAAATGTTGCCTTGTGGAGGACAATCTAATGGAAACTGACTCGTATACACGTTTCACACGGGAAATATCGCGAAAACGCCCATACAGCCAGCCTGTTTGGGGGATCCGAACCTCGGACCGAAATACCAGTTTTCAGTAAATTTACCACTCGGCTACTGGAAGGAGGGAGAACATATGGTATTCTCAAGAATATAAATATTCAAAAATCACCGAAAATATATCTACAAAATTATGTGGAAAGTCAAACAAAGTCGCTATTCTGTTTTAAAGTTTATGAAATTTTATAATTTTGAAACTAATTAAATATAATAAAAGGAATTGTTTTCAATTAAGTCCAAATAAAAGTGATATTTATCCACTAGATGACATTAGTTTATCTGTTTCATAGGATTATTCTTTTTATTTTAAATTATATTTTGACATTAATAGGTAAGATATGTCCGATTTATATTTTTAACGATTATTTTGTCAGTTACTGTTATTTTAAAAATCTTTTTCTTTTAAACGTTTTCTTACTGTTCCCATCTACCATTTTCTGAACTATGTCTTGCCATGACAATCCGCTTGAAAGCCATCGGATTACACATTTAATTCTTATATCAAATATAGTTTATTAGCAACTTGATCGTATGTACTTTTTGCTTAAGATAAGGAATAATCATTTATTTAACGACCATCAAATTCTGTATAGTTTACTTTTATGCGTATTCACATGCATACAACATTCCTTATTAAATTGTATACACATGCAGTAACAAGAGGTAATTGAAAACATCGTTATACCTACAAATGCGCTTTGAACTGCACCCAGTTCTTGGTAACGGAAATAGCTCAGGTTTTTAAATTCTTCCTTTGTTCGTAATTTATGTGTTTCTTTAAAGAATGATGCTAATCAACGTACTGTTAAATTTGTCAAATTTGTAATTTTTCTAGGTTTCGGGACTACTTCAAGACAGTACTATGTTTCCCTAGGAACGGAATGCGTCGCTCTGGGTGGCTCAAGGATAACCGGAAGGTACCCAAAACGGCAACATTCACTTGTTCCACACGCACACGTTCCTGTCGAGTCACCTTACCCATGCCAAGAACGATGAATGGACAACAGCCCTTACCTCGATATTTGTGCAGTCGTCTCTGAAGAAAATGTGTTAAATGTCATCGAACTCTGTGTTTTTTCTTTCTCTTTCATACATCTTCTTTACGAAGATGAAAAATCTTCTTGGTTGTTTAATGGCTGCTTCTTCTAAAGCACTTTAGGATATGGAAACAAGTCAATCATATTCTGAGACTGATGCTTGCACGTGCACGATTAAAAGTATGATGAAAGACACGTCTGAAACGTGAAATTAGAAACATAAGAGGTGCAAAATATTCAAATTTTCAGTATTATCTGCATTTTTGAAATAAAAAACGTAAGGACTTCAGTTTGCATCTAAATTATAACTTATATTATATAAATGAATCCAGAGTTTTATTTTAGTCATCGGAAGGTAGGCTACTAGGTTTATCTTAACGCTGTTACGATGAGCTTAAACAATTCAAACTTTAAAACGCAAACTAAATGGGACCATAGACTATAAAGTTATTCTAAAACTTCAGATAATTGTCTTAGATGTAACAAATACTGTAATACAAATCAAATTTTATTTTTGCGGTTGTCTTAATTTATTTTAGAGAAAATTAGTGCTTCAGAAAGTTTTATTTTTTGTATTGTTACAAAACAAAATACAAAACGAATATTTTTAGATAAACTAAACATTGACATCATTTTACTGGCATAACTATACTCTAGATTGCTCACTATTGTTTAATTGAAAACAAAGCTAATATAATAATTTTTAATTACATATATTTTTAATATGTCTTAAATATTCCTGGCAATGTAGCTACACGTTTTTAAGCAAGGCATATTTTGCGTTACTGTCAACGGTGAGGTGCAACTAAAAAGGAATTAATAATAACTCAACGAACTGCAAAAAATAACTGATTATTATATGAAAAACATGCAATATTAAACCAAATTATCTAACTTATTCCACATTTTAATCTTCTCTTGCAATGAGAAATTTTTGTCTTAGCACTCAACAGACGTAACACTTTAATAACACAGGTAAAATGTAAAACTAAACTAAAAAAAAAAAAAACACTTTACAAAACTTTACAAAAACTACACCTTTTAGAACAACAAAAAATAACAATTACTAACCATCGCTACTCAGTTTTAATAACGTAAATATTTAATGCAGTAAACGATAAAAGGCACACTTCGCCTATCAGCTCGTCTCTGAAAATGGGAACTTGAGTTTTGCTCGCTAACACATATATGGATTTTGTGATGAGTAAGGTTTTTGTATTGTATTACTCCGTCACCGTTTTCGCTTATCATGGGGCATCTTTCGCTAATCAGCTTTATTGGCTCATTCCCACAAACCTCTCCTAAACTATAAATTTGTTCGCGGTTTAAGTTTAACTCATATTGCATTGTAGTGACAGCTAGAATAAAAGAAAAAAGTAACGTATTAGCTAAAATAAACTTTCTAGGCCTTACAATTTGTTTGACAAAAAAGTGCTTATTCATGTTTTAAGATATATCCTTATGAATTTTCTCCATCATTATCATTTTTAAATATAGCAGTATACTAATTAATGATATCTCTGAAAATATCAAAATGTAAACTCTGTTTTAGTTACAAACTAGCTATCTTCGAATCGCAAATTCTCAATACCTATTAGTAGAGAAATCTCAACAATAATGTTTCTTTCGATTTCTGAATCAAACCTGATTAAATTGTAAAATGATTTTATAAGGAATATCTTTCAGAATGTTGCGTCATGAATTTGCATCGTAAGTATGGAAGCGAAATTTGAGAATATCTCGAAAATCTGTTTTCGCCAGTTATACGAAGAAGAAACGAAAATGGATTACGGAATCGGGATTCATATGGAGTTGTTGGGAAACACAGAAATGATTACGATAGCTCTAACAGAACATATTTAATATCTTGCTTGTGAAATGCATGTCATTCATGTCTGATCAATTTTCATTATGTAAGGTGCATGTTAGAATATCTAGGTTATTTCGACAAATATCAAAATTTAATTTCCCTTATTCTCTGGATACATCCAAGGACAGATTTACGTAAAAGCCAGTGAGGCATACGCCCAGCAATCTATTTTAAGAGGACCTTCAGAACCTTCAGAATTAATTTATGTTCATTTTAAATAACAGCTTTCAATGTCAAATTTTAACAAATCAGATTTAGAAACATGAATGTAAATTTCTCTTTTATAATTTAGCTCTTCATGTCTTCCTTCAAAACTTAGACTGGTACTATGAATAGTCCTTTCATTTAATGAAACTTGCATTCATAAGCGAATGCCCCAATTAATCTATGCCATGATTTAACTATCATATTTGAAACTGATGATGTCATTTGGATATGTGGATTTTTTGACAAACAATTCTTTTTGCGTTCTTGTGATCTGTTAGTTTAATTTGTTGAGATTAATTAAGGTTAATAAAACCAGGAAGATTTCTTTATTATTGATATTATTCCCGGTTTTCCCCCTTGAAAAATATTTCTTGAATTTAAATTTATATATATTTGTATTTTATAACCCACACAATGTTACATATTTTGTTTTTATAAAATTCAGAAAGAGAAGGCTTCGTGAATGATTTTGCTTCAGGTCTCTAGCTTTGTAAATAGGCCTCTTGATACAAAATTCATTAACTTATCAGCTTGTTCAAATATCTCAAACAACAGCATAGCACGCACGTGGTACGACAAACATCAAAATTAAATTTTCATTACTTTGCATATGCCACACCCCACCCCCACTATTGGTCGAGCTGTTAAAGACAGCTAAAATGCCACAAGTTCGTTTCGGATTCCAACTCAGGAGAAGAGATGCTCGCATTGTTGGTTTTTGTGGCTCTCTCATATGAGACATGAATGCGAATCAGTTTCTCTTAAAACGTCCTTCTCGAAGATATCTTTGTCCTCATACAAATAGTACTCTTTTGCTTTGCATTGAAATAACCAAACTGAACAATTACCCAAGATATATTATTATGAATTATAACTTCAGTTTAGGTATTGTAAAATCTGAGAGACAGCATATAGTTTCTGTTATGGAGCTACTATCAAATCTGATCATATATCCATTTACTTGTTTACTCAAATATGATACTGCAACCCAACAAGAATTTGCAAAGTTACGTGGTCAATCATTCAAGAATAATTGATCGAAGAATAGTGTTTAACGTCATATCTTTCATTTATGTGTATTTCATATTTTTGAGATATTCCATATTTGTATGAAATGTATATACTAATTCGAATTAACGTACTGAATTGGCAAATTATTTGATTTAGAAGATGGTGTGCATCTCTTAAGCAAAAAACATATTGCAGTAACTGATTAAGCATCTGAAATAAATAAGAATCTTATTATTTTTAACAAATTGTTAAACTGTATAATTATGCTTATTTTACTTATGTGATGAAATTTCAAAGTGAAAAATTAAAAAAGAAAAAACTACTATATACTTTTATCGGAAACAAAATGGAAACCTGTAACATGAGTATAACTCTAGCATAAGTGGTTTTTTTTAATATCTTTACTTCAAATTTAGCTTTTTTTCCTGATGCCTATTAGTATTTCAAATCTCACTACATGGATTTCCTTTGTTCCTTGAATCAAAACCAAAAGGCCACTTAAGTAATAATTAATGCATTGCTACATATGATATTTGAAATGATTTTCTTTGTTCCTTGAATAAAAACAAAAGGTCTTTTAAGTAATAATTAATGCATTGCTACATGTGGTATTAGAAATATTCTAAACATTAAGAGATGAAGTCTAAATAACTTGAAGTAATTTACGAAAAACAATAAAAGAAATTAATTGAGTTGTATTCAGTAATTGTTTTACTTTTGAAATAGATGCAAATTTTAATTACGCTTTTAATACAATAGCGTAATTAAACAACAATAAAAACAATTTTATTTAAACAATAGCGTAACTTTTAATACAATAGCGTAATTTGCTAAGAAAAATAAATATATGATTTTAACATTATTCGTAAGGAAACAGGGTATAAATTATCATAGTTATTAAAATACATTTAAACATGGATCAGGTACATCATCAACATACGGCAATGTGCATTACTTTAAAATCAGTGAGCATTTATTCAGGTTACTTCAGGTATTCAGGTTACATAAAATGCTATAAGAGGAGTCTCTGTTTTAAATAGGACATTGCAGCGCAGAATTCTTTGAAAGTTTTTAAAATTTCATATTATATCATGTACGCATGGAAAAACACAAAATGTTATTTGTTTAGGAATTATTAAAACTCACAACATTGATTGAAAATTGAAAACTAATAAAACACTTGACTAAATTTCTTAAATGCAGCATCATAATAGCATTTTACTAAAATGGGACATGGGGAAAGTGTGATATATAATTTTCGTAATGTTAATTCAACTAGTATATAATTTTAATTTTGCAGTTAATTAATAAGTACAGTTAGTGTTTGGAAAGAAATTATATTAGCTTTAGTTTATTCGTAGCAGATGTAATATCAAAGAAACCATTTCACAGTTTTAAATTAATTTTCACCCCATAAAATTAATATTAAGAAAATAAATTAATTCAAGTAAGTTGAATATCACTAAACAGAAAAAATTAGACACATTTAAACTTATTACTATTTATTAAAAAATACTTGATAATATAAATAAATAAAGTTTGTAGCCTTGAATAAAATCTTTTAACTGTTAGAAATATATTAAAGAAAAAAATCTGAATTTTAAACAAATGGCATTTAGAATTTTGAATAATTCTTGATTGGATGGCATAATGAAATATCGTATGTGAATACCACATGGCGTACGTGCATGGCCTATTAAATTTAACGCATTTTTTGCTACATCATTTAAACCTAATCCTAGAATTTCATTAGAGATATACTTCTCATTCAATTTATTCAGTCCTCACTTCACGGGAAATTAACAATACATAAAACCCCATCGTCCTCATTAAAATTTGCAAAATATAGAAAAACTTAAAACACTGAATACAGTTAAAACAGTTAAAAAACAATTTTCGCATTTAAAATTAGATTTTCTTTCTATGTAAAAACAAGCAATCTGACCAACAGGGAAGAAGGCAGATTTTTGGGCGCACAAAACTGGAAGTTTACTTTTGGACTTACTCGGCAAAAGGACATTAAAGGTGCAGAAAATGACTTAATTCACAATTCTAATGCAAACAAATGGCGGTGCGTTAGGCTTAACTCACCACTTAAACTTTTAAATTGTTGACAATTCTGCATATATTGCATGAAGATTAATTAAAGGTATAAAAACCTCAACCGGAACACAAAAACCACTTAATTCTTTCACATTAAAGAAAAAAATGTACAATTTACCAACATATAAGAATAAAAAAACTACGCTCACAAAGCCAGGTAATAGAGAGGGAAAATATATATATGGATAGATTTTGAACTTGATTTATTTTCATGGATAGATTTTGAACTTGATTTGCTTATGCTTCTGAATTTAAATGATATTGTAGTTTAGTTCGAGAATTAAATCTTTTACATGTTTGCATATTTTTAAATTATTTTAAATTATTTTGGCATTTTTTAGAATTTAAATTTGCTTTTTTACTTTTTTACTTTCATACGTATTTGTTAAAAATTTTAATTTGTTTAAATTTAAATTTGTTTAAATATATATATATAATATTGGAGCAGTCAATTGCAACGAAAAAGGGAGGTGGTCAGCTACATGTTATAGCATAAATAAATACCATAAATAAAATGTTAACGTTCTACACCTACTTGTTGAGTTATGCGAGATGCATATATACAGACGTCAAGGAGAAAAGTCTCTTCTCAATCCCTTAAATGTATTTTACAATCCTTTTTGCCAAAAGCAGTTCTTTATTATGTCCGTAGGTACAGATGTCTCTCGAAAACATTGTTCAAGTGGTTCCGATAGCGGCTGAGATGGGTATTTTCGTTGAAATACGATATTTGACATTTTTTGCGATTACAATACGTCCTTTACTTTGTACAAGGAAGTAAAAATATAAACAAATCAACAAGTAAACCTGTCAACTGCAACAAAACAAAAGATATAAAAATTTACTGAAGTTCAGGCAAGTTCCATTTATTTCCTCGGAATCAAAATTAATAAAGAAAACAAACTCCTTTAGTTTAGAAAGTACTTAAATAAGATAAAGGTTATATATAATCAGGAATACATATTCATTTCTTCTTAAAATAAATTAGAGATCATTGCAGTAACTGAATTAATCTTATAATTTGTTGTTAGCTGTTAAATAAGAAGGTTATTAGTGCTAAAACTTAACATTATAAAAACCGATTAAGGTGCACAATTACACATATGTACATATTTTGTCGTTCAATATTATATGTAAGAACATATTTAATTATAAAAATAAATCAGTAAAATAATCATTTTAATCCTCCCAACATTTAAGCAGAATATATTACCACGTTATGGGTAAGTGAAAAGCTATTCATAATATTCGCAGCTATAACAACAACAAATAAAATGGAATAACGAATAAAAATAAATAAAGAAATTTATTTCATAGAAAAAGTTCATTTTATGTATTTACTTATTTTTACTTTTATTTCTTAACTTATTGAATATGAAAATTCTCCCGGAAATAAAATTAAGGCACACTGTTTGCATCATTATCAAATTAAGAAATTTTAAATGCAGATGAAGATTGTAAGAAGGTGTCTATGTGGTCTTCAGCGGTCATACGTACTCGTCTCTGTTTTGCTTTGTTCTCTGGAAAATCGTGCGTGTAAAATGGCCGCCAATGATTTCTGAATCTCAACCCAAACATATATATGTTTTTTTTGTGTGTTTGTGTGTAAGATAACAGCATTTTTATATTAAATCTAAAAGATACGAAACGGAAAAATAGCGAGACAGTACTAATATAGTAAAAATGCAAGAGAGGTTGCGACCTCGTTCGTCGGTTAAAGCAAGTGCGCACAATGCTCATGGATCATATAAAATATATATGTATATGTAAGTCTGTCAGGTATTAAATGGAAAACTAAATACAAAGATCAGAGTGTCATGTTTACCCTTCCCCCGGATGATCAAGAAGTCTAATGTCATTTCATGTGTAGAACACAAATGAAGAGGCTACACACACAATATCGTGTATAGGCACCTCTTTCAGTACTGTGCAATATAGTGCACGAAGTTCAGTATGTATATGCGCATATTTACCTATTCAAATAATATACTGTGGGTAAAAAAAGTATTTGCACACCTACATTTTTGTTTGCAATTCATAAAAAGAAGCATTAAGAAATAAAAAAATTGGTATTGCCAAATCAGAATAAGTTTAATCATCCAAAACAAACATAAAAATTACAATAATATACATAACAATGCTTTTTTGTAACAAAATTTAAATATCTCGTATCAAAAAAGTATTTGCACACCTGCATGAATACAAAAGAAATAAAATATATAAGCAAATTTCAAATAACTAATATTTAGTACGCATTTCTTTTAGCATTTATTACTGCTTGTAATCTTGCTGGCATTGGTTTAATTAAATTTTCTGTAACAGTAGGGTCAGTATTCGACCACTCTTCAATAAGGGCTTGTTTAAGGGCAGATTTGCTTGAAATCTTCCTTTTTACTTATTTTTAAATTCCACAAGAATTCCACAAATTGTCCAAAGGATTTAAGTCTGGTGATTGTGGGTGGAGTGGCAAGTTTTCTGGGTTACATTATAAAGCAACCACATACGTGTTATACCGGCAGGTGTGCTTGGGATCATTGTCTTGCTGAAAATAGTACGAATTACTGATACACCAATTTTATTGCACTTTGTATTGGCACAGTTATCTCGCAACACATCAATATAGGTGCGAGCTGTCATATTCTCATCAATGAAACACAAATTACCAACTCCTTTGCTAGCCATGCACCCCCAAATCATAACAGAACCTCCTCCATGTTTAACTGTAGGTAACACATTTTTAATATGAAAAGCAGTACAAGGTTTTCTCCAAACTAATTTCCTGCCATCTGGTTTAAAGATATTGAACTTAACTCTCGTCGGAGAATATGGTATTTTTCCAGGATCAATTGGCTTATTGATATATTCCTTAGTGAATTCAAGTCTCTTCAGTCTGTTTCGTTCAGTTATGAGAGGTTTTTTCCTTGGTGATCTCCCATAAATGTGTGCATCGTGCAGGACATTTCGAAAACTTTGAGCACAGATTTGAACTCCAGATGTTGAAGCGACATAATTGACTAAAGTAACTGCACTAACAAATGGATTTTTTTATGCTTCTCTTATGATTTTTCGCTTCATTCGCAGTGAAAGTTTCTTTGGGCTTCCAGAACGCAAGTTATTTGATGTAGATCTTCTTTCTTTATAACATACCGAACAGTAGAGAAGCAAACATTTACTTTTTTACTTTTTTACCTCAA